GTGCCTCAGGGTTACGTCCTTTCTCCTGCTCTCTTCAACATTTTTAAAAACCTTTGAATTGCCCTGTATCATTACTAGGTGTGGTGCTTCATGCACCGCGTTTACCGATGACTTGAAGTTATATTGTCCGATGCGTTCGTTGGAAAACTGCTCGAGCCTTCAGAAGGCCATTGATGCTGTTAGCAACTGATCTAGGAAGTGGGGCGTACCGCTGTCGAAGGAGAAAACTAGTGTTTTGCATCTTTCGTCGAAAAATGAATAATTCACATACAGCATAGCAGGAGCACCAATCAAGAAGGTGGAGCAGCAGAGAGATTTGGGCTTTCTCATCACAAGGAATCTTTCCTTCGATACTCATTGCGAGAATATCGCACGAAAGGATACCACGGTGGTACACAACTTGTATGGAGTCCTTACTATTACGAAAAATACGGCGGTCCTATTATGTGCTTTCAAGACCTATGTCAGGCCCATTTTGGAATACGGCACGCCTGTTTTTAGCCCGTATAAAGCCAAATCGATCATGAGCGAGTTCAAAACTCATTCACTCGAAAATTGATGATTAAGGGCCTCGGGTTTATATACGATGGTATACCTCCTAGTAAGGAAAGGAACAAAAATTATCAGCTGCACACTCTTTCATATAGACGATAAAATTCTCTATGGTCATTGCGACTCAACCCTGGTCAATTTTGTATTGAATGGTCCACGGTTACCAGAGGTGCTCCCATTAAATGGATTATTCCGCGAGCTAAGCCCAAGCTACGATTTCATTTCTTCATAGCAAGAGCCGGCAAGGACTATTTCAAACTTGCTAGATCTATAACCTTTTCATTAAGTATACAAGCTTTCAAAAACTCAATCGACCGTTACCTGGTTCCGTAGAGTACCCGTTCTTATGCCGTTTTTTTTTCTGAGTCCCATGAATTAGTTTTTTTTTCCTTTTATCTTTGTTTACCTTTTTCTTTACACGTTAGTTTCGTTGATTGTTTTGTTTTCCTAGGTCTGTTGGTATCACGATGCTAATTTCATCATCTTCACATGAGTTTTGCTCATGTAATAAATATATAATCAATTACACAAAACCGTTGCTACTGCCCTCTTCCGTGAAGGCCTGATAAGACAGAGCTTTTTCATCAGGTCAGTGTAGATAAGTCGAGACTAATCTGCTCGCCTCGGGGGATCACGGGTTACAGTGATTTTTGCGCCCATACTCAGCCATCTACGCATTCCTAGTGGCTAAAGCTACCAAACCTGTTTGCTTTGCTGATCGCTCTAGCTTAGATCCTTCTGCAGTGTAGTGTCACCTAGAGCCCATTTAGCTGCCTGAGCTCTGACAACCAGCTAGTAGACGTTCTTTTGAATTGGAGGAACAATTACTTTTTGAAGTCATAAACTGACTTCCTCCGTCGTACCAGAACGTTGACTCAGGTCGTCAGTTGCTTTTGCACTCAGAATATGCTCATATTTTATATATTAGCAGCCTGATCTTCTTTCACGGAAGTTTATCATTCGTATACGTAGAGCATTACGATCGGAGGCATGCTTGCTACTCTGCCACGAAGTATTTACTCTACACCTTCCAGATTTTCAAAAAATGTCGAGAATTCACACAGGAAAACCAATTCTCTCAATCAGTCCCATGCATTCGGTCATTTTCAGCACCATTTAAATTTCGTTCGCAGAAATGGAATCTATTATTATGAGTGAGAAAGCAGCTGGTTCCATAGAACTAGGGCTCTTGTTGGTGTCAACTCCATGACCCATTATCTATCTATATTTACCCATATGCTATCCTACCTCGAATGCTCAGCACCAATCATTTGGTTTCAACCGTTAAACAAAGAATAAACTTCATGAGCGAAATGGAGCAAAAAGTGAGTGAACATATGCTAACCTTCATCGTGTTCGTCGAGATAACCGTCCAGCAGTGATGTTGCCAGCGAATTGGGTGGCGATATCGTTCGCCGCCTGTCAGCGGCCATGATTTCACGTACGGAAATGATCTGAAAATGAAAAATTCTTCCCATATGCACCATACCTTACGCTACTAGTTCGGGTCAAAGACAACATCGAAAAACAATAAATAACAGGATTGATTAGTGACTTGAAAGAATGCAGGCTTGAGTGAATCGAAAGTAACGGGCGACAGGTTGTCTAATTGGAAAGAATGGTTTTGTAAAGTAAGCTGCTCTGGCCAAGTTCGCAGTTCAAGAAGACACCAATAGAATATGTACACTCAGTCCTTTGATGAGTCCATCAATTTCGCAATTGCTTCTGAGGAGTCATCGTACAAGAACGAGAATCGAACGTTCGCGTGGGTGCTCACTCACTGATTTTCAGAACTTCGGTGATATCAGCTGTTTCTTGTGTTGGTGCCAATTTTTTTCTTTAACATTTCGAAGTGTTCCTTATCTCCTGAACTTATTATCGATCATAACGCTCTCCTTTTATGTGAAAGCTGTCGATCAGCAGTTAATAACAATTGCAATGAACGTGACAACTGGGGCGGAAAACAGCTTTGTATATCATTTACAACATATGCCCTTATGGCACACTTTCCGGGATTGGTAGGTCCTCGAACGTTTCAGGTCCCCCCGCCCCCACTCTCTCCCCTTCCGCAAACTCCAATGTCGCTAGTGTGCTCAGGAAGTACGAGTTCGGATGTTGAGGGAGCAGATAGGCTCTGCTGTAGTAAGGCCTAGTGAAATAGGGGCATGGTCTGCGTTTAGTGTTTCGTTCAAGAAGTCCCTAGGTCGGCTGAACCGTTCGCCTAGCCGTTGAGAAATCTACCTTTCAGATGGTCCTATCTCAAAGTTCCGTTGTTGTTTTGGCATTGGAAGAGATGACAATAGTGAATGATAAGGTGTGTCTATATTTTGGACCAATTCGAAGGTTAAAAATGTATGAACTCTCATCAGAGTTTGACAGTTTAAAAAAGTGGGGAGAGTGGAGCAACGAGGGAGTTAGCGAGAACTTCACGTATTGCTAGGTGCTAGTAAGTGGCCGAGAGTAGGGGATTTGAATGGCGGAAAACAGTAACAACTCGAGGGCGTAATAATTTCATGAGCCGTCGCCCTATTTCTACTCATCGATTCGGGTATTTCGAAACTTTTCAGGTCTTTATACCTACTACAATAAAGTAAAGGAAGTTCTCAAGCAGCGCACACAGCCAAGAAGTCTTTTTAGGGCGACACACTCGTAAAACATAGCTGTACCGCTACGATTTCTGCAGTGTTTGTTAGTCCCTGTAGAATGAAATTGATACTAAAATTGTAAGTTGAAAAGTGGATTCTTTTTTATACTCACTTTACCGTCATGTTTCTTTCCCACCTTCCAATCGTCTTTGCCTGGGGACTTAGCACAAGTTTTTTTTCGAATCTTCGTCGCGCATTTGAGTTTTGATGGCTTGGCAGTTGCGATAGTCAACACAAAGTAGGCCGACGGAGAAAATTGGAAGTAATGGGGTAATGGTATTAGGAGTAAACCTTGACACATTTTTGTGTTTGGATGAGCCACTCGACGAGCGGAAAATGAGCTGCTGCCAACAGTTTTCATAGAGCTAGCAAGGAGACAACAGCTGTCCGAATAAAATAAACAGCGATTAAGGGTCATGTTTGGAAACATTTCAAGACAAAATCAAGGAGCATAACGTTCGGACAATCAGAAACTTAACAAAATTGCTGTGGTGCACCATGAGTACAGTCATAGATAAATAGTTAAATGAATAAAGAATAGTTCTTCCGACTTTCGAGAAGCACAAAGTTATTATACATGACACGATATCGAGATTTATGTAATAAACAGACAGAATTGACCACACCCTTAATATTTTAAAACAATAAATAACACGATGTTATCATCCTGTTAGCCCTATTTCGTCGTCTGAAAGCGGTAGAGATAAACATATGAAGAGGTGAAAAGAGTTTCTTTCAAGAACTGCCATATGGCTGTCAAAATGTATTACACTAACATCTTATCTTCCAGCTGAAATTCGATGGAACATCTCTTGGCTCACTGTTGTCATATGGATAAGGAGGCAGTATTTCAAGAGAGCCAAGTGAAAATGTTGGGAATAAATCTCATAAATCAAGTAAACTTATTTCATATAATAAATCTTACATCACGGGGTTTTGAACAGAGAAAGCTCGTCTTGTCAGGTCGAGAAAATTTAAATTTTTTGGACTCTAGCCAATGATTTTTGAGGACCCTCACCGATTCGGGCGAGTGGGGCTCAGATACTTATCCAGCAACAGTCACTGGCGATATTACTTTACATGGATGGATGAACACCAAAGACGGAAAAGCGAGAGGCAGAGAGAAAGAGGAAGAAGAAGAGAAAGAGAAAGAGAAAGAGAATGAGAAAGAGAAAGAGAGGGAGAAAGACTGAGAGAGAGGGAGAGGGAGAGCGAGATGGATTGACGTCAAACCCTTCTAGCTTTACAATTCGGAACACATTCATGGATTTTATAGATCTTTGAGTAACACTTGCGCCATGGAAATCGAGAGGGTACTACGATTTCTTCTTAATATCACCAACTTTTGTTAAGTGACAAGAATTTCTGGATTTTGGCGTAAGGTTGGGAATTAACAGATTCATGAATTGCAAGGAAAATCGTTCCGCTTGAAATCACCGCATAATATGTAGGTTGTTGGGAAGAACGTCAACGCTTATCTACGGATTTCAAGGCGATTCGTCGTAGATGACAGCTGACGATATGCCATGCCACAACGATTCCTTTGAATGCGATGGCCGTTTTTGTGGTTACTACATATAACGAACTGGTTTAAAAATCGATGGAATCCGTGAAACTCGTTGAAATTCGAGCTGATAAATTGCCAATGGGATGGTTATAAACGTTGCGAACTCTACACACGGCATAGGACAAGTGTGGGGATAGGAAAATACAATCGCCACTTCATAAAGCAAAAGGAGTAGTCGAACGAGTGAAAGAAAAGAAATTGGGATTACTAGTAGTATCCAAAGAGCGCTATGCCAAAAATGGAACGCCTGAGTGAGAAGTATCGGCTGGAATATTGAATCTGGACGTCTGCGTAGAATGATGGAAACAGTAAAAAATTTCAAAAATGCAAGTAACGACCAGAAAGAACTACCAAACTGAGCGCTGAATTTCTGGTCAACCTTCGACTTTGCCCTTTACCTTTACAGTTGCCCTATGGTGTGCCAATATCGCCTAGCCAACAGGTAATTGATTGGCTTTCCATAGAAGAAAGTTCACCAAAGACGAGGTGTGGCTAGTGGGATGGCCGCTATGGGTGCGTAGAACCAGTTGGTCTGTCAATGTGAATAGCGGGACGATTACTTGCGCCGTGAATGTCCCCTGCTTGAACCCTTTACAATAGACGCCAATACAATTAAGAGAGAAAGTGACCCATCTAGCTGGTTGCAACGGGTTTGTGAAACCATCGAATGAGTTTCTGGCAATCAATCAGGCCTCATCGTATCTTTGGGGGTGGGAGCATCACCTACACAATAGCAATGCACTACAAACAGTGGCAGATATCAAATATTTGGCATTGAAACACCTGTATCAAGACTGGAAATTGGGAAAATCGGTTTCTCGAAAAAGTTGATCAAGGTTAGGGCTGGGAGTTTTTTGCCTCACACTTCAAGACTTGCAATTAGAGTTGGGTTTTTTGTTTTTGAGTTCCGTTTGTGTTTTTGTATTGAGAAGAGACGTTAGCAATCATGGTGCAGTCATACCAGTGTGAACTATCAGAACTATAGAAGCAAGAGAATTCTCTCTGCAGACACTAGCCATTTTCATACCGTGGACTCTTCCTGGGCAATAGTCGAGCAATAAATTTTGGAACGGGAATGTATCTATTCCGAAATTGAAAAAAGAAAAAACTGTTCAAATGAAATTTTCATTCTGCTAGAAAAGATCACACGCATGCTCCATTGGCGCAGTTGGTTAGCGCGTGGTACTTATAAGATTGAGAAATGCCAAGGTCGGGAGTTCGATCCTCCCATGGAGCAGATTTTTGCAAACCAAAAAGTTAGCAGGATAGGAAGGACTTCGGCGAAAAATTGTATCTTCCGGCTACCAGTGCTACCTATACCATGAGTGATCTTGAGCTTTGATGACCAGTAAAAACTTCAAAGCCAGTGAGTCAGTAAATCCATGACGAGGCTCTAAAAAGGATGTAGAGCCCTGTGACTTCTTCGTCTTTGTATGGCCCTACATAACGGAAATGCTTTTAAGCAACAGCCAAGAAAGGCAGTGTTCTCAATGGGTACCGGCGAGGCAAAGATATTCTTTTCTGTTGGTTTCTATCGTCACCACAGATGAAAAAGCAAACAGGATTCAATGGCTCGCAAAAGTGCTTTGAAGCACCTACGTTGGAGAACTTTCTACAAAAAAAACTGACTAACATAAAGTTTTAGCGAATATAAATGTACCCGCTCATCCGGTAAAGATGACTCCTGTACAGTGCCCCAGAAGGGGATTAATAACCATTTCATATGAATCATATACTGTTTTGATTGGGGCCATATACAACGATTACAAAATTACTTTAAGTCAGAGCCAATTCCATGTAATGACACCCATAATGTGGACGGGATCTTCTGCCTCTATATATTGCTAGACAGCCCTTACTTCAGACCGTCCTGATGGCAGTCCTGTCATTGTAACGCTTCATGGAAAGGAAGAAACCCGAATCCCTCAAAAATGTCGTCAAAACTAACTCCCAGGAAGCGATCGATTCATTTTATAAAGTTCCATAAATTCGGTAGAAATGATTACTTGTATGTGGTTGCCTGGTAATTCTAGTTTTCCTTTCTAACGTTCAAACTCACAACTGACTTTGGTAGGCGTGTTTTTGAACTATTTAGAGAAAGCCCTTGAAAATTACTGTTAGAAATATCAATCTAATTATAAGCAAAACTTAAATAAAGAGTGGATTCTTTTTGAAATGGGTATATCCAAGCGGACCGTGAGCATTGAAAAAAGTTCTGATTCAAGCAAAATCAAATATTTTGATTCACGACAGATAGTCAAAATAGGAAACGTTTGAACAGGCCGCTTTGAAACTCAGACGCGAGTGCTGATAACAAGCGAAGTGTTGCTGGCTGGTGTGAACGAAATCGCTATCATTTGCCCTTCTTTCAGATGTTTTTCCTTACAGTACAAAAAGTATCTCTAAATCGTGATGCACCCGTGATTCCTCTCCCAATCAGTTCTAAAAGAAACTCCATGGCGTCCACCTAGATGAACTACTTGACAGGAAGGAATTCACCGACTTGGGCTAACTATGAACACAGCGTCCGTTATCATGTGAAAAGGACTAGGGCCGTAAATCATCAAGGAACCATTTCGGCATTGATATGAGATTTCGGATGGTTTTCAATTCTTTCAGGGCACTTACTTATTACCCTTAGTAGTTATACATCAATTGATACCGACAAAATCAATTTGAAGGCTTCTTATATTAATTTGAGGTGCCCAAAAGGCTGTTTTTTCACAAATTCTTACATTAGAAAGGGGCCCAGTTTGTGGAAGAGTGAAGCTATTTTGACAAAGGCAACAAGGAAAAGAAGCAAGGACATTTGCTCAAAAAGATCTGCAGGAATAGCCAATTTTATTCAATTTTCGGCAATCATTGAAGGGTTGATTGAAGAGCTGCAAGAACTCATTTTATATTACTTAGAAATTGAAGAAAACATCAGAAGTAAAGCCAAAAACATTAATGGAATCACATTGGGAGACCAAGGCCAAGAAATTTTNGGTACATGTATAGAAGGGTAGAACACATAGAGCTGGTGACAAAGCTCTCAACATTGTGGTTTTGAAAGAAGGAGAACGCCATAAGAGGCGATACAAAAACGCCTTATCTAACAATTTCTTTGGAAAGAAACGAATGTGGCTATCAATGAATACATTCTGCGTGCACTAGGTAAACGGCTTGGTGAAAGAGGCGTCAAGAAAGAATCCCGGTCGATATTTTGCGTACCGGTAAAACACATTTGTTAGCTCGTTGGATTCTCGCAAAAATTTCGCCCAGAAAAAAAATCAAAACTTCTTCGCGATCAATAACAAATTTCAAAAGTTAGTAAAGCGGAAACGACTTTTGATCGACCCTCTTCTGAAGCGGATCTCGTTTCAACTGTCCTTCAGACAAAGTTTTCATGCCTGAGTTAACATTAAGAACTTCGAACCCTACTAGTAAAAAAAAAGTCTGAAAAGTACTATTTGCTACTAAAACGTATTTATCTAAGAGATACTCTCTCATTGTGAACTTTCTATATGGAATTTAGAAATTTTCAAGTGAATCACCAAAGAGTATGCTGAATGGTCTCATAGTAGAGACGAAAAAAATGTTATAAAATCATTTGTATTCTTGATTTTCGAGTCAGCCAAGAAATTACTGGAAGCTCAGAAAATGAGTAGGTACAATAGTCAAAACAGGATTGTCTACGTATGTATTACCTGGTTCAGGCTGAGTTTCATTTTCGTCTAGACTCTTCTTCTACAGAACATTACTTGATAGTTGAGACAGGCTAACACCTCCCAGTTCCCGTTGTTTCTTTTCGATAGTAGACGACAGTTCGAAAATTATTCACAAACTGGTTTGAGAACCTCCTCATGAAGATGACTCAACCGAATCTAACGAAGGCTGGATACGTGGCTCCCAGATGGAAACAAGCACACTCTTGACTTCTTATTATCTAGACTCCTTCAGAGAAGGCGACCTCTATGAAATCGTATAATTAGTCTTACTAGATAAAATAGTATATTGAGGGTGAAAAATAAAATCTTCGGCGCTGATCATTTTCTTTTCTGAGATGTGCCCCGCACTCGACTCCAATTCAGAATCGTAGTGGTGTATTGAATGCGTGTATTGCCCCTACAATGACTTACGCTGGCCAGCCGATGTACAGGTCAATGTTTTTATCCTCCCAGACGAGCTTGGTACAGACTGACCGATTTCGGAGGAATGGAGGGCTTGGTTGGCCTGGGCGGATATCGATCCGGGATTCGAACCCTGACCGTGCGTGTGATATAGTGCGCCATTTGCCACCACACCGCCTCCGCCATAGATTTGGAATTTTTTCTGGAATTTTTCGGTTTTGAGTCGCGCTAATAAAAAACAATCTCTGACCACCTTGATTTATCTGTCGTAGAATTACAACAAAACTTTGCATCATAATGCGACGCTGCATTCATTCTACCTGGCTACCTGCCAAAATCCAAAGCTAGATCTATGTTTTACAACGAGGACGATAACAGTTACAAGTATAGTAAAAATTTAACAGTGGTTATTAGTCTCGGTTTAGGCCACAAATGATAACCTATTTTTCCTCTTTATTAGGGAATATGAGGACCTCCTCATGCCTCCCGTGCTATTCCACAAATGCCGCCCTTG